AGTATCACATTGTCTTGGATTAGGTTGATTTAAAAAACAACAACAACAAAACAAAACAAAAAAACATTTTATGAAAGTGTTGATTAGTTAATTTTTTTCCCTCGCAATAAGATGCAAGAAGATTTTCAGTCAGAGAAAGAAGTGGAGGGGACCAGGGGCTGGCAGATGCTGCAGACAGCGCATATTCTTAAACAGAAGGGTGTGTGTTTATGTGTGTGTGAAAGGGGGAGGGAGGGAGGATTGAAGGGGAGGGAGAAAGAGAGAGAGCAAAACTGGGTGTCAAAATCTTGAGCTCTGAGAAAGCCTCCCAGTCTGTGTGTTGTGAGGGGAAGCAGCAGCACAGTGAAGGTTTCCAGTTGGGAGAGAGTTTAAAGAAAGTGTCTGTTTAGGATATCGGAAAGTTCGCTTTGCCTGAATGAAACGCAGCAGTGGATGGCTCGTGAAGGTTATGCACAATGGAGAAGATTGGCTTTCAGTGCTTTGCTTGGATACTTTTGAAAGGAACCATATGTCTGGTGATGAGTGAAACACATTATACATTCAAAGTTGAGTTATGCTGCATTTTAAGAGGGTTTTGAAAATATTTCAAGTTCTACATATTTTAGATTTGATGCATTATCCTAATGACGACTTTCTTTGCAGACTTAAGTTTCTTAAAACATGCTGAGTGAGGTTTAACAATATTTGTGTGGTGTGTGAGTCTGACAATATTAAGAATACTTCTCAAAAACTCAACAGTTCTTTCAAATGAGATTCTATTTAATTGAAGCAATTCTGAGACAATATTTCCAAAACGTTTGGGATTTTTTTTGTTGATTTGTTTTTAATCGTTCATGCTAGCACTTAGTTTACTTCCCGATGGGGTCAGTCTATAACTTTCTCCTGTGCTTATTTTTCTAGTTGGTTCTTGGACCACACCAGACACACAGCAACTTTACCTTCACCAAGAGAGCACCGCCTCATCCCAGCAGGGCTCACGAGGCTTCTTCACAGCAGAAGAACTCTGTGCTTCAGTCCAGGAGTCTAACTCAGCACACCAAGCTGCCCCGTAATCCCTTCATCCCTCTTTCAAAGCAGGGATTTGGGGAAATACTTGAAGGAAACTCACAACCGCACTCCAAGCCATCATTAAAGATGAAGCTTCAGCCCATCATGAAAGTTCATGGAACATCTAAATGGTCCGAGACCTTCATCTGGGGGGACTTTTATTCAAATATAAAGACGGTCAAACTGAATTTGCTGATATTGGGGAAGATTGTGGATCATGGGAACGGGTCTCTTGGCGTCTACTTCCGCCACAACTCCACGGGGGTAGGCAACGTGTCCGTCAGCCTCATGCCACCGACGAAAGAGGTGGAGTTCGACTTGGAGCGCCAAAGCGTGATCCACCCCAAGGATTCAAAGACGTTCAACTGCAGAGTGGACTCCGAGAAAACCGAACGCAACAAGAAGGTGATGCTGTGCAACTACGACCCATCAAAGACATGTGATCAGGAGCACACCCAGAGCCACGTCACCTGGATGTGCTCCAGGCCTTTCCAGGTCATCTGCATCTACGTGTCTTTCTACAGCACAGACTACAGACTGGTTCAGAAAGTCTGCCCGGACTATAGCCTGCAAAGTCCAGCCTACCTGCCTGCAGGTTAAAGGACACTGGAGAGTGATGTCTCAGCAAGCCTCTATAGAGAAATCCAGTTAGTGCAGCTATGAGCCAGTTTGATGGATCATTTTGAGGTTCTTCAAGAAATTCGGTTGAAAAGTGTTTTTAAGTTCACTTTAGTTTCTATGTTTTTAGTGCAAAAAATGTGCCTGCGTTAAGATTAAAGTGTTTTAGATCATGTAACAAAAAAAAGGTTAGGGTGCAACTAAAAGTGAGTGATTTACCTGGCAATTGCTTTCTTAATTATTCCTTTGAATATATGGTTTTATGAAACCACAGTATTGTGAAAATACTCACAAAAATCTTGATATTTGCTCTTTTTCTGAACTGTAGTTACCAACAAAAAGGCAGTGGTAGTACTCAGCAGATTAATCAGCTATTCCCTTCATGTTTCTTTGTTTTTTTCATGTTTCTTTGGTTAAAGCAGACAATGGTAAGTTTTTGGTTTAATAAAAGCCAAGATATAGTCATCCTCTAATGTTGTTGTAGCTGCAGGACCATAAATACTTGTGGTCCTGCAAATCAGTCCTTCAAAATTGTTTTCATGCCACTGTAATTTTTTTTTAAATAAAGAATTTAATTTCTTTTCGTGTAATAATTTGAATTTATTTATATTTTTATATGATTCTTGATATGAACTCACCCACTCAGAAGAGCTGCAGGCTATAAAAGATGAAGCGCACAGGTTTAAGCTTTGTGTTATTCCAATACATCTTGCTTTCCATTGCTAACAAAGTATGCTTGTCGTTGCCCACACGTGCAGGTTCGCATTATCTTTGAACAGCTGGCAGGTTAAACAGGCATGTCAGACTGTCTTTGAATAAACCTCAGTCTTATAACCTTGTTAAACTGTGTCTGCAGTTTAAACCCAGAGTGGCTCAGAGTGAAACTAAGGTGCACGCGAGAGTGCAGGGGTATGGTTCAGGAAACGGTTCAGGAGGTGCAATTAAACACATCTGCTCGATCACTGCACTCAAGGCACTGGCAACTAACCTTTTCTGCCGGGCAGATGGATGTTTAATGACCCAGACACAGGCCGCTAACTCGATTAAGTAGGTGACAGAGGTTAAAGACACCCCTCACCATCCACCACTGTTTCCAGCTGCTCCCGGAGTGGCTGGAAACAGCAGGGAGAACGCTTCTGTCAACAGCTGCAAGTGCAGTCAGCCATATTACGGAGTCTCAGCATCCTATGCAGCATACTGCTTTTTCTAAATTAGCAAGGACAGAGTGGTGGGAGGACCATCCACTACCAAAGACATATTAAAGTTCTATGCAGACATTTGATTTCAGCTTCTCTGCAGGGGCGGCACCAGGAAGTTTTCAGTAAAGTGAAAATAATATATGGATAAGAGTGATTTGAAATCGCAAACTAACCTAGATAATTCTCCTTGCTGACAATTACAGTGAACAACACTTTTTAAAAAATGGACTAAATGTTCTTTGTGCAATCTACTGTCCCCTGTTGGTTTAAGGTATTTCCTGTTGGTTTCTCTTGTCAGGCCTAGAGAGTATCGTCATAGCAACAAAGACAGTACCCCCCCTTCAGTTTTTTGAGATTTTCAGATTGCTTTTTGAGATTGCTTATACAGTTCTCTTAAGTTCCTGCAAGGGTAATCCAGCACTTTAGAAAAAAAAAATTCTGTCATTCTGCCGCTTTGTTGCTGGGCTCAATATTATTGCGTTTGGTTTCAAGTAGATGGTTTACTCAGACTGCAAGGTCCTTAAATTCCGTGGCTGCAAAAAAAAAAAAAAAAAAAAAAAAAGCCCAAAGCATCGCCCCTCAACCACTGTACTTGACAGTTTTTTTGAGGTGTTTGTGCTTATATGCTGTTATTTTCACCAAACGTGGCGCTGTGCATTATGGCCAATCTATACCACTGTTCAAAAGATTTTTTGCCAAAGTCTCGTGGTTTGGTTAGATGAGACTTGGCTGTGCTGCCATGTTCTTTTTAGAGAGAAAAGGTGTGCTCCTGCTAATTCTTTAAAACAAGCCACACTTTCTAATAGTAATGTCATGAAATTTGGGTGACACCTAACTCTTGGGTTTGTTTTTTAATTTCTATTTTTCCTTTCCACAGTTTCTCAGTGTTGCACTGCATTGAATGTTCACATTCAATACATTTGCTAAATTGCCAGCACCTGGTTGCCTCTTACCCTGTAAATTCTTATGGAAGCAAGAGGTATACTTAGTTTTAAATTTTAAAAAATGACACCGTGTAATACATCACGTGTTGTGGTTCATCCAATCACAAGACCTATGGATCAGATTATTATTGTTACACAACATTGTTATGTAAAACCTTAATACTTCTTTTTACCTTGACTGTACATATCTTTTATACCGTCCATTGTTATGAACAATATCTATGATTTATTGTTCTCCTAAGCTGCTATACAGTGAGTAATAATAGACTGCAACAACATCTGCCAGAATTTGGGTATTGGAGACAGAATATAGTCTATATATAATAATTAATAGCTAACGATCTAAGACATTTAGGATACAGTCTGTGCTCACTTCAAAATATTTTTCTGTGGCAAAACTCCACAAATTCTCTTTCCTTTGGAGATTTATGTGCTTTTAAGCAAACATTTGACTACAACATACATAACTCAGAGAGAAATACCCAGACAAAGCTTGCACTGCATTCAATACAAAATAGTTGTGGTTTATTCTTTTGGGAACAAAAAATGGCAACAACTAAGTGTCACTTCTCATATTCAGCGATATCTACAGGAAAGAAACAACAATGGTTCCTTCTATCAATTACCATTTTTCACCAGGTTAAAATGATAACTTCAAAAATGTATTTCATATGGTTTTACCTTGGTGTGCATGTGTTTCACATTATGTCTATTCTGAACATTAAAACGTGTTCATTTCAATTTCATTTCCCTTCAGTCTTCATGCCTGCAAAGAATTTCTCTGTTGAAAATGCTTTTGTTTAAACACAGCTTCAAAAGCACTGGTGTCTGTACAAATTCCCATGAAGAAAAAAAAAATAGAAATAACATTTTTGAGGGAAAAAAAAATACCTCTCATAAAATAACATCGACACGCCTTATCGGACTCTAATGTAACCATTTCTTAACCTCCCTTTGTTGTCTTCTAGTAGGTTTGTCTGTCTACACCTTGGACATCATTTTCTCTCAAGGGCTACAAAGAGATCCAGACACAAAACAAATTTCCCCAAGAATGACATCCAGTTGTGCGTTGCTATTTTCCGTATCCTTTTTAAACTGGTTTTCTCCACTAATTAAAAAACAAACAAAACAAAACAAATGAAAACAGATGCAGATGAAGTTTGAAGAGTTCTACATGGGAGATAATGTGTTGGTTTTTTTTGTCACTTGCTGATAAATCTTCTTAAAGGGTACTTGTTCTTGGTGGTCCAGCTGGGTCTCTAGTCCAAGAAGCTTGCGTCAATGTGTGCTTGCCTACAGTATTTCTACTTTACTGCTGGTAAGGGTTGACACGGGGGTGACCTGTGAATTTAGTGCAATGTTTTCCCCACTTTCTTTGGGAAAATTTGATGATTTTAGGCCCATATCTGCTCTTGCTGCTTCTTTTTTGTTTTTTTGACTAGCCCTTGGTTGTCTTTCTTGGGGTCTTCTAGTTTGAAAGGCCCATTTCATCTTCTTTAGTCCCTCACAGGCCCACGTGTCCTTTAGTTTTTGGGCTTCTCTCACAGCTCTACTCCAAACACTAAGAACAGAGCAAAAAAAGAAGCCATGTGATAAAATAGACACTTAAAAGACCTTATCTGCAATAGTCCTTCAAGCCTCCAAGTTTCAAAAACGGTTGGCTCTTGTTGGGTTCATGTGTCCAGTTCTTCCTCCTGAACAGATTCCAAAGTAGGAACTACCAAGGATTTTGGATTTATTCACGGAAAAGAGACCTCACTAAACCAGAGCCGAGGAGAAAGGAGAGGGTGCTGTGGGTTTTTCTTTTTCCTTTGTAAACAACAAAACATCCACTTAACAATCCCACTTCTCCCTCTCGTCCATCTCTTCCTCCTCCTTCCCTCCATCTTTAGAAGAGACTAAATACAGCAGGTTCTGGATGGGGCAGAAGGGGGAGATTTGGGGAGAGGCTGTAGGTAGTGTAGTAGGTAACAGCAAGGGGGAAAGGTTGTCCCTGTGTGTTTGAGGGTTGGGGGGGGATCTGTGTGTTTTTGTGAGTGCATGTATGTGCAAAGGTGTGAGTTTGTATGAGTGTGTGTGGATGCCTTCCTGTGGGACTGTTAGGACTGTTTGAGGCGTTTGCGTGGGGGTCCGAGGAAAGGGCACTGAGCAGAAGCCAGGGAGCGATACGCTTCAGCCACCAGGTGCGGATGAGACGCCACCATGGACTTCCAGCCTGCTGTCTCCATCACCTCTGCAGCATGGCTGGTGGATGAGATGAGAAAGGAAGAAAATAAAAAAGATTACAAATCAAGTTTTCCTTAAGTAAACACATGCATAACAAATGTACAGACAGGCAACCTGGAAATCCTAAATAATGGCAGATTGTTTGGATCCAATTTTCCTGTGAATAGTACAGACTGCGTGAAACCATTTTACAGGTGTTATACTTCTGCCAAGGTCCACTTGAGGCTGATTGACTGAAATTTCCCTGTAAGATGGTGAACGTGGCTTTGCCAATTTTTAGTTATCATGCAGACTTTGTGGAAAATTTACACAACAATGCTCCAATTACTGTGCCTTCAGACTTCAAAGAATGATAACAGGAATGACTGCTGGGCTGTGGTGACTCCAGCTGCTGGTTTACAATCGTGCTCAAAAGATACAAAATCTCCATTTCCAGTTAAAAGTTTATCCTTAAAGTAGGAGCCAGAATCAGGAGTTCAACTAAAGCTTAAGGGAGAGTTGGAAGCCTAAACCGGTGTAATCCCACATCATGACTGAGATTATAGTGACAATTTTTTTTTTCTAATATACTTTTTATTCATTATTACCTGAAAGTAGTGAGAGCACAAAGTCATCAGTGAAGTGTTCACAGAGGTCACAGATCAAGGGAAGCGATGGGCATTTTCCCAACAGACTGTTACACTTTCAGTTAAAGGTAAACATCGTGTAAACATAATGGTAATTTTATGATTTTTAATGATTTCGTTCTCATCTTTTATGCCTTAAAAAAAAAAGAAAAAAAAAAAGAGAGATGGGTGCACAAATTTTAATTTTGGATTTTTCTAATCCACACAGGGTGAAAATAACACATACAGCCTCAAATATATACATACCTTCTACTAATATTTGGTTAAATGTCCCTTAGCAAGTTGCACCTTTTGGTAACCATCAACAAACTTCTGGCATGATTCAGCCTGAATCGTCTTGGCAGAGTAGTTTCATGGCATAAACCCAGCTCTTAAGCTTAGCTCACAAATTTTCAACAGGGTTGAGGTCGGAGCTTTGGGAACACCATTACATAGGCTTGTGGAAACATCTGACCACACCTGTACATACAGACTATAGCCCTGACGGTCACAGAACTAGCCGTTTGCTTCCATACACTTCATTCTGTTGTCTCCTATTCAAAAGCAGACTCAGTTTTTCTTTTGTACCACAAACTGAAACTCTTTCATTCTCCCATTTTGCCCGATAAATAACAATTAAATGGACACATAGTAGCAGTTAAGCGGAATCACATGCTAATGCAGTTCCTCAATCATACAACATCCTCCCTTCATTTATGCTTCTATGGATACACAGCGAGTTTGAATCCTTCTGATGGAAAAATGTTTTGGGGACAAAGAAGTCCATATTGAAAAGATATAATTATATTATATTATGTTAGCAGAAATGTTGTTAAATCATGTTTTGTCGAGCCACATCGCCCGGCCCTACATTAACAAAAAAGAAAGAAAGATAATAGTAATATCTGAGCCCACCATCAGCACAGACGTGTGTTAATATCACACTTTCAGTCAACAGAGGAGGTGACAACAGACTAGTGAGGAGTCAGGTTGCCCCGATCCCTATGAAAGCCATGGCAGGGTTTAATAATATCAGGCAGACCACTCCACGGGGGCATATGTGAAATTAAAATCACTAACTGGCACAGAGCCATCAAGAGATGAGGCGAGCTCAGGTACTACCTGTAATGATTCCAAGATAAAGAAGAACGACAAGAACCATACTGACATGACAGAGACAGGATGTACAGTGGATGTGGAGGACCTGCGAGTGCGTGAAAAAGGTGTTGGAAACCCTATTGCATGTGACGATGAGCTCTTTTTTCTTCAACTTACTAGTTAATGAAGTCGACGGCCTGCGTTTTGAGCTGGTCGGCGCTGTGCAGGTCAGCGAGGATCAGGATCTCAGCAGCGTTTTCCACAGACAGGCTAGTGCACAGCGCGTCCTCACACATGACCTTCAGTCTCTCCAGAGCATACTGTAAAAGAGTGGATACAAGAAGATTGGCAGTTTCCTCTTCTCCATCAGTATCTATGTGGTCTCTGCTGTCACAGTTGACCATTCCAGTGTTCAAACACAAAGCTTCGTTTCGTCTTGTTGTCAGTGGGGTCTGATCTATAAAATATATTATGTTTTAAAGAGATAAATAGGAGAGTAGGATATAAACATTTCAATGCTCGACCTCTGAGGGAAACTGTCTCAAAGCCAGCTCCACATTTGGTGTCATGGAGGAGTGAGATCAGTGTTAAATCATCCAACTGTTCACTGAAATCATAAAGTCTTACTGGGAAAAGGTTTACTGGGTACACTTGTATCATGCCATGCATTAATGCAACTAATTATCTTTACCTCAAGGGATTTCTGAAAGCTCGCTCTGCAAAATATACTTAGGACTAATTACAGTCTATAAGCTCTGTAGTTGTATAAGGTTTTGTCTGCACTAGATTATCAAGAGAAGAAAGGAGGGAAAAAACATGTTAGATGAAACATTTCATGTGTAGTTGTTCATTATTCTCCAAAAACTGACAGAGAGCCCTCAGAAACAGTGCTGAGCTGTGTGGTAGCATCCAAACCTCATTACAGTAACTTCTGCACTGGTCATGTGACGCACACTCTGTAAAAAAGCCCTTTTGTTTTATAGCCACAGTCACTGCAGAAGCAGGTGGGGTGAATTGATGAATGCAGTTTTTCTGAGGGTCACAACCCCCCCGAATGATTTTTTTTTCTTAACAGAATTCGATCCAAGCTCTCTGTGGGCTTGATTCAAAAGGTCTCTCATACACATGCTCAGTGGGCTCGAATTCCTCCATTGTCCACTAATTGCACCGGTTGACAGTTCAATCCCCACATGTTAAGGTGCCCTTGGGAAAGACACTGAACACCAGGTTACTCCCTAATGGCAGGTAAATCAAATTTTTTCCGAGCCTTAAAAACCCCAGAAAATGGCTCGTTGTATTTGAGTTTTACCAATTCAGTCATTTGTAATTTTATTTTATCCCATTCATGTTCACAGAAAGCCAACAGCAACACTAGTCACGCACGAGCTCTGTGGCCTCAACGTGCAGGTGCCTCAAACTGTAGAAATCCTGAGTATGTGGCCATGTTACAAACAGGCAACAGGCTTTCCCACATCCACAGAGTGTCGGGTAGCAGCTTCCCACTCTTATATTACCTTATCAGCTGCTGCAAGCAAGTCATCTGCCATTTTGTCCAGGTTTGGAGCCTTGTCTGTGTAAATGAAGCACATCATCTCTTTGAAAACCTCGGGCTCCACATCGTTGATCTCCACACGATTCTGACAAGACACAAGGGATGGAGACTGAATGAAACATCGATGACATGAGCTTTAACTGCACTTCAACAGCACATTTGTATCACACCAGAAAAATTTAAATCCAACCTGATTTTATTTATAAAGCACTTTTTAAAAACCAAAGCACGAAAGCACCACAGAACAATAAAACAATAATAAACGAGGGTAAGAACACACTTTCTCATTTTTTTTTTTATTCCTCGAGTTAAAAGCCAAGGAATAAAAATGAGTTTTAAGATGCGTTTTTGAAAACAGGCAAAGATGTACAGGGAAATAATTCCATAATTTGGGGATGATAGCTGATGAAGCTTGACCCCTGGTTTTCAGACAGGTTTCTGGGACTTTCAGCCGGTCCTCAGCGACCTCAAGGAACATGTAGTTCAGCAGGTCACGTGCAAAAATATATATAGTGGTGCTGATCCATTAAGAGGTTTTAAAAAGAAATAATAAAATCTTAAAAATGAACGTAGAGCCAGTGGAGGGAAACCAAGACAGAGGAAATGAACCTGTGGTATTTTGAACTAACTGTGATCACAGGAAGCGTTACTAAGGCCAACATAAAGCCCATTACAGTTCTCCAGACACACTGTGTTAAAGGATGCTCAAAAACATTTAGAAATAAAGCAGATTTGATCTCGTATAAAAGCCTCAAGTGGTAAAAAAAACAAAACAAAAAACATTTAATGGCATCATTTATCTGCTTATCTAGTTTAAACTAGAGCTGGGCGATAGAACGATAACGATATGTATCGCGATATAACTTTTACTCGATAGAGAAATTAAGCTATCGCGATAGACCTCGCCGCTCTTGTCCTCTTAAAATAAAATTTAAAAAAAAGAAAAGAAAAAAAAAAAAAAAAAAAAAACAGCCAATCCAAACTAAGTAGCGCAGAGCCGAACCAATCACAGCCGCAGCGTCACGTCGCGTGACTTGTTACGTACAGCACAAGTGCCAAGCCGCACGTGTGTTTGTTTGGGAAGCAGGCAGCGGGTAATGGAGCCAGCGCGTAATGGAGGAAATGAGCGTGCCGACTAGAAAAATCAACCGAGCGTGACCGAAGAGAAAACAGATGATGGTTCCAATGCCGGAGAGATTGTCGAACGGAAGAGCCATAGAAGTTCCGTAGTGTGACGGTATTTCGGCTATTTCAAGTCTGACAAAAAACAGAGTAGCGTGCACTGTAAATTGTGCCGAAAGCAAGTCTGGAAATACAATAAACTGGTGCATGCGTCACACTGTGCGCCGCGTTATTGTTTCGGTGAAATGAATTTCTACAATACTGTTACTGTTAATTCTACTCTCTGCAGTGTTTAAATGCTTACATATACACACAGTTACTGTCCCTCCACACATACGACTCGGTTCTGCTTCTATGCCGCAGCTTTGTTTACTTTTTCCCACCGAGGCTTCTAGACTTCTGATTGGCCAACATTGCTGCACGGTTAGGAATCTAGCGCCACCTGCTGCTTTGGCATGTTCATAGCAGCGTTTTCCTTCATTTCTGCCTTTATGTGTGGACGGGATTATTTTTTAAAACGAAAACGGAAAATCTCCGTTTTCAAAAATACCCGTGTACGTGTGGACGTAGCCTCAGTCTCTGACTGGAAGCGCTAATTCGTCATTCGGCTTTTGTCAGACTAAAGTAACTGTTAAAACTGTTTGAAAAGCTAAGCTATACAACAAGGACAGATTGAGAATTTCCTTTTAGTTCTCAGTTTATTTGATATTGACAAAAGTTAGTCAGTTTTGTCTGTTATTCTGTAAAACAAACTAAGATTTATTTTTAGAATTAATATTTTGTTTCTAAGTGGAATTGACAATTTAGTCTGTTTTGTTTGTTCTATTTTGAAACTTAAACGCTTTAGCGGCTGCCTTTTGTGTAGTTTGCAATATTTGCCTTTATTTATCTGAAAAAGTCTCATGTTCCTTAAGTACATCTACCCTGTTGAACTTATTATGGGAAATAAATATTTAAATAAAAACAAGCTGCTGATTATTTCACATTTTACTTGTGAGCAACGGCACATTTAAATCTTACAAATATAGTTATTTGGCTTATATCGTGATAGATATCGTTATCGCCTGAAATGAAAAAAACATATCGTGATATGAAAAAATCTCATATCGCCCAGCTCTAGTTTAAACACAGTCACGGTCCACTATGCGTCTAACATGTAGCTGCTCAGAGGGGCACAGGTCCAGGAGAAGATCAGCACACTGGGTCAAAAACAATGACCTCATTCTTAATAAAAATTATTTATACTTCTGAGATGCAGAAATCAGTAATTAAGCAGCTTTACATGAGCAAGAGAACATTTTTTATTGAAATATTTGGAGTGCACTTGCATATTCATCAAGTAAGTGTGAGACTGTCTTGCATATCAGCCTAGTGTGATCCATTATTTATACCTACATTAGCAGTCACTTAATAATACCCATAGGCATTTGTGGTTAAATTACTGAAAGGGTTCAGTTTGGCTGAATTCAGTATTATCTGTAATTTAATAAATTCATAAAGGCCATTTTATCCCAACCACTCCTGCAATCTCACTTCTTACACTCACCTGTGCAAAAATGAAAAAGGAAAAAAAAAAAAAAAAAGCTATTCTGTGCATCTGCAGCTTTGTCAGTGAAGGATGAATCCTGACCCCCAAGATCGGCAGGACAATTGCATTTCAGCTGTGCTATCATTCAGTTTCACCAAACGGCTCTGTGCTGCAGCCATTTGACAGCACGCAATCCTTCACTCGTTTTAACCTCACATCACGGCAGTGAAAATCTGAGGATTTAAAAAAAAAAAAAAAAAAAAAAGCTTTGGGACCTTGGGTTTACCTTTTTGCTCTCTTCCATCTCGTGCTCAAACATGGCGCTGAATACTGGGGAACGTGCTAGGAAACAGGAAGAGAACAACTTGCAGTCATGGCGCTAATTAGCAAAAACTTGAATAAATTTCAATATATAAACATGAAGAAGACGCTTGTACCTGCTAGGATGGCTTTATGTGCTTGAAACTCCTGGCCAGCCACACACAGGGAGCAGTCTGTGAAACGTGAGTTCTCCCACAGGCCGCCCAGCTCGTCTGCTAGCCGGCAGTCGGGTACCTTTACCATGTTCATGGTGTTCTGACCAGAAATGTTGACAGAGTCCTGCACCACACTCACCTCAAGGGGACAAATGTAATGAAATGCAATGCGTCAAAAATGCAAGGTCAGAAAGAAAAGGCAACAGCAAAATGTAGCCACGTACCTCACAGAAGAGCGTGAGCTTGTCATCAGGTAGAAGGCCGTTGGCCTCATCTAGGAGGAAATCTCTCCGGATGAACTTTTTAAAACCCCAATCCTTCCCCTGGACAAAACGATACGCCCTCTGGCTTTCTGCAGACAGAGCAGACACAGAGAAGCCACGATAAGGAAAGTCTAAGAAGAAACTATTTTACAAAAGCTCAATGCAGAAAAATTATTAACGCCTACAAAATCTGAAAATGTGTCTGTTTCACTGAATATTCTGTACTCACCCATGGCTTTGGTCTCCTCTCCCTTGGCGTTGAGGATAGAGAACTTGAACTTGGCACGCACCTCGGCTTTTGGACAGCTGACCAGCAGCAGGTAGAGGGACAGGTAATCTTTGCTCTCCTCATCCAGGCCCTTGGGATTCACCCGCAAACACCTGATGGGGACAGAAGATTCAACAAGAAGGTCAATGTAAAAATGTATTAACCCTTATTAGTATGTGTCATTCCTAACCAGTAGGACTGGGCTATATTATACCGTTCACGGTAATAGCGGTGTAATTTTGGGCAACGATAGGAAAATGAAATATCGCGATAGAATATGGGTAAAACGCGCATGCGCAGTGCCTTTGTTTACATACGCACATGGCGGCAACGCAGAATGAGAAGAGCAAAAGCGGATCGTTGAATGAAACAGATGAACCAGAATTGGTTTGTAAAAATGCTGCAACGACAGTGGTGTGGAACTGGTTTAGCTTTCGTTCGTCAGATACACAACAAAACACTATTTTTGGTAGAGCATGCTAGCGGGCCGTCGTTATTACAGTGTTGTTTGGAAAATACGGCACACTTAAAATTAATCCTTTGATTTTTCTGAAAATCGACAGTGCCCCTCATAATCCCGTGTGCCTTATGTATGAACTCTGGTTGTGTTTACTGACCTCGAAACAATTTTATGTGATACACGCTCAAAAATCTGTCAAATGTTTTAGAACGACTTTGCTACACCGCTTGATGGATTGTCGGAGCATTACGGCTGCTGTCAGCAATGAATTTGCAGTTGCACTGTTAAATTTTTATATAACTTTAATGCACATAAAAAACAGCTGCTTGTTTAAGTGAAAATACATTATTAGTGCAAAAACCCCCATCAAAGTTGTGGAGTTGTAAAGCATTTTGTCTAGTGTCAATTATATCGTCAGTTATATCGTTATCGCAAATTTTCAAATGTATATCGTGATAAATATTTTTGGTCATATCGCCCTGCTCTACTAACCAGACTATTATGCTGTGCAAGGAAAGTGCAGAAGTTGCACACCAGGAAAGTTTAATGATTTCTTTGTTTTGGTGTATAAGGCTCTTTTATTGAAGTTGTACTAGAGGTCATTCATTAAGGCTAAATCAGGCTAAACCTGTGTTATAAATCTACATTTATGTTACGTTTGTACAGATTAAGAGATTTTAAAAAGAAATCTGATTAAAGCTAGGATGCTACATAAGGAAATGTTAGCCACACTTTTTTGGATTTCCATGAGAATCCACAGTGAGAGATTTCTGAGAGATTAGAGCTTGGATGGCTCTAACTGAAATGATATTTGAGCAGTTTGCTTGACTGTTTGTAAACAGCTTGAAAGGCCTTCCATCAGACAGATTATTACATCTGTGTGTGTCAGTCTGAGCGGGATTATCCAGATGTTTGCAACACAGCAGCCCTCATTCTGACGCACCATTTCAGCTTGTCATTGGCCCCAGAAGAGAAGGTGGAGCTCTTGATGACTTCCCCCATCTCCTCACGACAGAAGCTGAAGTTATTGATGGTCCACATGTAAGAGAACTTCACCACTTTGATCTGTTAAAAGGAAGAATACATTCAGAAAAGGCTTAGATTCATTAATCCGAGGTTCAATCAGACAGCGAGCCTGAAACAAGAGTCATTTCACCTGAGTGTAGCACCAGCTCTCGGCCACAGGCCCGCTGGACATTTCCGCAGGGGGAGGGGGACTCGGGACTCTTGACATTGCCAGTGTGACAGATGTTTGGGGCAAGAGGGTGAGGAAGAGGAATCTGTCACTTCCACTCGTCAGTGTTCAGCCCAGACGTCCATCTGCATCGGTGCGTGTCACATGGAAGCTGTTTGCCCCCTGCAGGCAGAGAATGTGATGAATTAGTCTGAACCATACAAATGTTTAAGTTTCACTCACACACTGTACAAAAAAAAAACCCAAAAAAACATTTTACTGTGATGCCTCCATCAACCACTTGAGCTGCAGTTTATATCCAGACTGTAGAGACTAGTGCATGAATTCATGAGTTGTGGATAAAAAAAATAAAAAATAAAAAGGGAGGTTGCAGGGACCTTGAATTTCTGATCAAGCTATCCTTGAGTTTAAGTAAAAGTTTGCAAGTGACCTCGACCTTAGCCTGAACATTTGAGCCAAATTTGAAGTTATTCCCTAGAACAGGTTAAGCCATACAGTGTTCACAGAGACAGGACACTGGCGCTGGATCTTTCATTAATCTAGGTGAGACCGAATATCATTTCATTCGTGTGGCCCCTGCTGCACAATACTGAGGTTTGTTGGCTTGGAGTTAGATGAATTGTCCCTGACCCACTGGAGGACAGCAGGAGATCGATGGCACCATGCCTGTTCTAAGATCAATAACTGCTGCAGCTGCAATTAAGTCTCAAAAATGAACTGTAAATAAACAAGTCGTCTCCTAGGACTGTGCTAGGAATTTGGACCCACTGGCCACGCTCCCTAATTAACTTAAAGTCACACAGAAGCGCCATGCAGATCAGTACATGCGCGCGCGCGCGCGCACGCACACACACACACACACACACACACACACACAGAGAACAGACTTCATTCCTTACACACAAATAAGCCACAACATTAAAGTGTTTATATTGATTATCTTGTTTTAATCCAAGATTCTCATGAGAAGCCTTTCTGCCCTGACATTCACACACTCCCAAAGCTGCCCGGGAACAGCTTGAGGAAGTTTGGAAGACAACAAAGAGTCCAAAGCTTAACTCCAAACTCCCCATTTCTCCTAGTAAAAAGGTGGTGTCAACCATAAGGCTCAGGGGCCTGACTGCTTCATGTCTCTATTGTAATCTAAACATCAATAAAAACCTACAAGTCAAATATCAATCCACAACTGAAAAGACAAAGAACAAGTGCAATATTTTCCCTCTTTAAGGAAAGTTTAAAAGATTTAAATAAATATCCGTTTATTTTTTTTTATTTTGTGGGAAATTAAGACAAACGGGGCTTTAAAAAGCTTTGAAATTTGATCTAACAATCTAGTTTTGTTGATGTTATATGGTATATAACACAAAAAAATAGTTCCCCACATCTAAACACAGAATTGTATAGTGGGTTTTCACGGTGCGTCATCAAACTGGAAGTCGCCATATTGGAGATACTGGAGTTAAACAAAGCGCGCGCAATCAAACAGAGTCTAAACGTCGAACGAAAGGAAATGGTGAATTATTGCCGTGTTTATGGCTGTACCAATCGGTCAGACTGTGAAAAACATTTGCAGTTTTATAGACTGCCAAAAGTTATTACAAATCAGGGAGAACAATGCCGAAAGTTATTAGAGGAAAGGAGGCGGTTGCGGTTAGCGAAGCTAAACCAGGATCTACAAGGCAAAAATCTAGACAACATTCGAATTTGTTCTGCTCATTTCTTTTTCTATAGTTAAGCATACTTAATAAAATATACTCGAACTATGCTACTTTTTGGTAAGGGATGATATCATACAGTTAAGGTTTGGTTGATTAAAGATGTTACTGCATTACTTACTTTGGCATTCACAACACATCTGTCGCTGATGACTTGATACTGCATCTCCCTCACCCATCCACACACCATCTGGTTATAGGCCTCCAAATTTTATAAGATTTAAGGTCTTCTGCTGTGTATGGGCTTGGCGAGAAAACCAGATAGTTGACGATATCAGGATATGCAATAGACGGAAGACTCTCCAGGTCGTCATTGATCCAAATGAAGGAGTCAATTCGTTTGGATCTGCACCACCAATAAACCTCAACTTTTCCAAATATCGTGCCCTTTGCTGCGGACCAAGTCCTTCCCTGTATGCCTTTGCATCTATAACGCATTTGAGGAGCTTTTCTGTGGTTTCAGACAGTGTTTGCAGTGTTTACCTCCGAGTGCCTCTGGTTTATTGGTGTTGTGTTAACACAACACGAATCTCTGTTAATCTGTTTCCATCCCCCCCATTTCTTATTTCCATTTCAACAGTCCTTGAACCGTTCATCCGTCTCTACCGGTGTCTCACACGCGGAGCCTTTAATGTTTTTACGTCTTCATCCATAAATTCAATTTGGGACCAAAACTTGGTGTAACAAGTGGGAAGGTTGGGACCGCCAAGCTTTCTGATTCTGATAATTACACCGAATACAGGTGAGATGCCAACAGCGAAAGTTCTTCAAGGCTCAAGGAATTAAATACTGGATTCAGGACTAACTTTAGTATTTGATTTGCAATGGATATTCATGACTATCCATGTTTCCTTAGCAACCTTGGTTAAAATCAGCTGAGCTCATTACTACAGCATAGAGCTGGGCGATATGAGATTTTTTCATATCACGATATGTTTTTTTCATTTCAGGCGATAACGATATCTATCACAATATAAGCCAAATAACTATATTTGTAAGATTTAAATGTGCCGTTGCTCACAAGTAAAATGTGAAATAATCAGCAGCTTGTTTTTATTTAAATATTTATTTCCCATAATAAGTTCAACAGGGTAGATGTACTTAAGGAACATGAGACTTTTTCAGATAAATAAAGGCAAATATTGCAAACTACACAAAAGGCAGCCGCTAAAGCGTTTAAGTTTCAAAATAGAACAAACGAAACAGACTAAATTGTCAATTCCACTTAGAAACAAAATATTACCGTATTTTCACGACCATAAGGCGCACTTAAAAGTCTTAGATTTTCTTCAAAAAGTGCGGCGCGCCCTATAGCGCAGTGCGCCCTATGTGTTGTAAGGAGGACGTAGTAGAGAACACCATGAGAACGTTAAAGGGTGAAGTGTGGGCGTTGATCGTATATACCGGGACAATCGCACATACCTGTATAAAAGAACAGGTATGTGCATTATGCAGGACATCGTTGTTTTAACAACCCTGAAAATGGCAAAGAGACACGCTTACGAAGCACAGTTTAAACTGAAGGCCATCAGCTACGCGGAGGAACATGGAAATCGAGCAGCGGCGAGAGAATTTAAGATAAACGAATCGATGGTTCGCAAATGGAGGAAGCTGGAAAACAAGCTCCGGCAGGTCAAGAAAACGCAGCTGAGTTTCCGCGGACATAAGGCGAGATGGCCCGAGTTGGAGGAAAGACTCGAGCGGTGAATCATCGAGCAAAGAGCGAGCGGGAGAAGCGTTTCGACGGTCACCATTCGGCTAAAAGCAGTTTCACTAGCTGAAGAGATGAACATTGAACATTTCCAAGGAGGTCCGTCTTGGTGCTTTCGTTTTATGAAACGGTGCCATTTTTCCATCCGGACCAGGACTACGATAGCGCAGCAACTTCCAGCGGATTATAAGGAAAAGCTGGCCATCTTCCGCTCCTACTGCAGCAAACACATCGGCGACAAAAACATCCAGCCCAGCCACATCACAAACATGGACGAGGTCCCGCTCACTTTTGACATCCCGGTGAGTCACACTGTGGAGAAGAAGGGGACCAGCACGGTAGCGATACGCACAACGGGGTATGAAAAGTCTTCTTTTACTGTTGTGCTTGGCTGCCATGCTAATGGACAGAAACTGCCGCCTATGGTGATTTTTAAGCGAAAGACTTTGCCTAAAGAGAAGTTTCCAGCAGAAATCATCATTAAGGCAAATGAAAAGGGCTGGATGGATGAGGAAATGATGAAAGAGTGGCTGAGGGAGGTGTATGTAAGGAGACCAGGTGGTTTTTTCCACGCATCACCATCGCTGTTGATCTGTGACTATGCGTGCCCATCTCACAGCCGATGTGAAAAAACTTGTGAAGCAAATGAACTGTGAGCTTGCTGTCATTCCGGGAGGCCTGACAAAGGAACTCCAACCGCTGGACATCGGTGTGAACCGCCCGTTCAAAGTAAGGCTGCGAGCGGCCTGGGAGCGATGGATGACCGGTGGAGACCACAGTTTCACTAAGAGTGGAAGGCAGCGCCGGGCGAGTTACGCCACAATTTGCCAATGGATTGTAGATGCTTGGGCTAACATGTCTGCTGGCACTGTTGTTCGAGCTTTCGCAAAAGCCGGCATCGTTTCCGAGGAGCCGCACGGCACGGAAAGTGACTCTGACGGTGAAGACAGTGAACCTGGCATGTTTGATGGAGATTTAGCGCAGCTGTTCAATTCAGACACAGAGGATGAGGACTTCGATGGGTTTAATTGATGATAAAAATGTGAGTACCAAACTTTGTTTTGCTCCTGCTTTATTTTTAAATACGCACACTTGTATGCTTGTGTGTTGTTGATGATGACGATTACCGGCAATAGAAATGTGAGTAAGGTACCGAATTCACGTTTGCTCCCGCTTTATTTTTAAATACGCATACGGTACTTGTATGCGCCCTATGGTCCAGTGCGCCTTATGTGTGTGTTAAATACAGTAAGGGCACACATAACTGAGACTGCGCCTTTTAGCACAGTGCGCCTTATGGTCGTGAAAATACGGTAATTCTAAAAATAAATCTTAGTTTGTTTTACAGAAGAACAGACAAAACTGACTAACCTTTGTCAATATCAAATAAACTGAGAACTAAAAGGAAATTCTCAATCTCTCCTTGTTGTATAGCTGAGCTTTTCAAACAGTTTTAACAGTTACTTTAGTCTGACAAAAGCCGAATGACGAATTAGCGCTTCCAGTCAGACACTGAGGCTACGTCCACACGTACACGGGTATTTTTGAAAACGGAGATTTTCCGTTTTCGTTTTAAAAAATAATCCCGTCCACACATAAAGGCAGAAATGAAGGAAAACGCTGCTATGAACATGCCAAAGCAGCAGGTGGCGCTAGATTCCTAACCGTGCAGAAATGTTGGCCAATCAGAAGTCTAGAAGCCTCGGTGGGAAAAAGTAAACAAAGCTGGGGCATAG